CTGTAGCTTGTTGCATGCCTGTAGCTTGTTGCATGCCTGTAGCTTGTTGCATGCCTGTAGCTTGTTGCATGCCTGTAGCTTGTTGCATGCCTGTAGCTTGTTGCATGCCTGTAGCTTGTTGCATGCCTGTAGCTTGTTGCATGCCTGTAGCTTGTTGCATGCCTGTAGCTTGTTGCATGCCTGTAGCTTGTTGCATGCCTGTAGCTTGTTGCATGCCTGTAGCTTGTTGCATGCCTGTAGCTTGTTGCATGCCTGTAGCTTGTTGCATGCCTGTAGCTTGTTGCATGCCTGTAGCTTGTTGCATGCCTGTAGCTTGTTGCATGCCTGTAGCTTGTTGCATGCCTGTAGCTTGTTGCATGCCTGTACCTTGTTGCATGCCTGTACCTTGTTGCATGCCTGTACCTTGTTGCATGCCTGTACCTTGTTGCATGCCTGTACCTTGTTGCATGCCTGTACCTTGTTGCATGCCTGTAGCTTGTTGCATGCCTGTAGCTTGTTGCATGCCTGTAGCTTGTTGCATGCCTGTAGCTTGTTGCATGCCTGTAGCTAGTTGCATGCCTGTAGCTTGTTGCATGCCTGTAGCTTGTTGCATGCCTGTAGCTCGTTGCATGCCTGTAGCTTGTTGCATGCCTGTACCTTGTTGCATGCCTGTAGCTTGTTGCATGCCTGTAGCTTGTTGCATGCCTGTAGTTTGTTGCATGCCTGTAGCTTGTTGCATGCCTGTAGCTTGTTGCATGCCTGTAGCTTGTTGCATGCCTGTAGCTTGTTGCATGCCAGTAGCTTGTTGCATGCCTGTACCTTGTTGCATGCCTGTAGCTTGTTGCATGCCTGTACCTTGTTGCATGCCTGTAGCTTGTTGCATGCCTGTAGCTTGTTGCATGCCTGTAGCTTGTTGCATGCCTGTAGCTTGTTGCATGCCTGTAGCTTGTTGCATGCCTGTAGCTTGTTGCATGCCTGTAGCTTGTTGCATGCCTGTAGCTTGTTGCATGCCTGTAGCTTGTTGCATGCCTGTAGCTTGTTGCATGCCTGTAGCTTGTTGCATGCCTGTAGCTTGTTGCATGCCTGTAGCTTGTTGCATGCCTGTAGCTTGTTGCATGCCTGTAGCTTGTTGCATGCCTGTAGCTTGTTGCATGCCTGTACCTTGTTGCATGCCTGTAGCTTGTTGCATGCCTGTACCTTGTTGCATGCCTGTAGCTTGTTGCATGCCTGTAGCTTGTTGCATGCCTGTAGCTTGTTGCATGCCTGTAGCTTGTTGCATGCCTGTAGCTTGTTGCATGCCTGTAGCTTGTTGCATGCCTGTAGCTTGTTGCATGCCTGTAGCTTGTTGCATGCCTGTAGCTTGTTGCATGCCTGTAGCTTGTTGCATGCCTGTAGCTTGTTGCATGCCTGTAGCTTGTTGCATGCCTGTAGCTTGTTGCATGCCTGTAGCTTGTTGCATGCCTGTAGCTTGTTGCATGCCTGTAGCTTGTTGCATGCCTGTAGCTTGTTGCATGCCTGTAGCTTGTTGCATGCCTGTAGCTTGTTGCATGCCTGTAGCTTGTTGCATGCCTGTAGCTTGTTGCATGCCTGTAGCTTGTTGCATGCCTGTAGCTTGTTGCATGCCTGTAGCTTGTTGCATGCCTGTAGCTTGTTGCATGCCTGTAGCTTGTTGCATGCCTGTAGCTTGTTGCATGCCTGTAGCTTGTTGCATGCCTGTAGCTTGTTGCATGCCTGTAGCTTGTTGCATGCCTGTAGCTTGTTGCATGCCTGTAGCTTGTTGCATGCCTGTAGCTTGTTGCATGCCTGTAGCTTGTTGCATGCCTGTAGCTTGTTGCATGCCTGTAGCTTGTTGCATGCCTGTAGCTTGTTGCATGCCTGTAGCTTGTTGCATGCCTGTAGCTTGTTGCATGCCTGTAGCTTGTTGCATGCCTGTAGCTTGTTGCATGCCTGTAGCTTGTTGCATGCCTGTAGCTTGTTGCATGCCTGTAGCTTGTTGCATGCCTGTAGCTTGTTGCATGCCTGTAGCTTGTTGCATGCCTGTAGCTTGTTGCATGCCTGTAGCTTGTTGCATGCCTGTACCTTGTTGCATGCCTGTACCTTGTTGCATGCCTGTACCTTGTTGCATGCCTGTAGCTTGTTGCATGCCTGTACCTTGTTGCATGCCTGTACCTTGTTGCATGCCTGTAGCTTGTTGCATGCCTGTAGCTTGTTGCATGCCTGTAGCTTGTTGCATGCCTGTAGCTTGTTGCATGCCTGTAGCTTGTTGCATGCCTGTAGCTTGTTGCATGCCTGTACCTTGTTGCATGCCTGTACCTTGTTGCATGCCTGTACCTTGTTGCATGCCTGTACCTTGTTGCATGCCTGTACCTTGTTGCATGCCTGTACCTTGTTGCATGCCTGTAGCTTGTTGCATGCCTGTAGCTTGTTGCATGCCTGTAGCTTGTTGCATGCCTGTAGCTTGTTGCATGCCTGTAGCTAGTTGCATGCCTGTAGCTTGTTGCATGCCTGTAGCTTGTTGCATGCCTGTAGCTCGTTGCATGCCTGTAGCTTGTTGCATGCCTGTACCTTGTTGCATGCCTGTAGCTTGTTGCATGCCTGTAGCTTGTTGCATGCCTGTAGTTTGTTGCATGCCTGTAGCTTGTTGCATGCCTGTAGCTTGTTGCATGCCTGTAGCTTGTTGCATGCCTGTAGCTTGTTGCATGCCAGTAGCTTGTTGCATGCCTGTACCTTGTTGCATGCCTGTAGCTTGTTGCATGCCTGTACCTTGTTGCATGCCTGTACCTTGTTGCATGCCTGTAGCTTGTTGCATGCCTGTAGCTTGTTGCATGCCTGTAGCTTGTTGCATGCCTGTAGCTTGTTGCATGCCTGTAGCTTGTTGCATGCCTGTAGCTTGTTGCATGCCTGTAGCTTGTTGCATGCCTGTAGCTTGTTGCATGCCTGTAGCTTGTTGCATGCCTGTAGCTTGTTGCATGCCTGTAGCTTGTTGCATGCCTGTAGCTTGTTGCATGCCTGTAGCTTGTTGCATGCCTGTAGCTTGTTGCATGCCTGTAGCTTGTTGCATGCCTGTAGCTTGTTGCATGCCTGTACCTTGTTGCATGCCTGTAGCTTGTTGCATGCCTGTACCTTGTTGCATGCCTGTAGCTTGTTGCATGCCTGTAGCTTGTTGCATGCCTGTAGCTTGTTGCATGCCTGTAGCTTGTTGCATGCCTGTAGCTTGTTGCATGCCTGTAGCTTGTTGCATGCCTGTAGCTTGTTGCATGCCTGTAGCTTGTTGCATGCCTGTAGCTTGTTGCATGCCTGTAGCTTGTTGCATGCCTGTAGCTTGTTGCATGCCTGTAGCTTGTTGCATGCCTGTAGCTTGTTGCATGCCTGTAGCTTGTTGCATGCCTGTAGCTTGTTGCATGCCTGTAGCTTGTTGCATGCCTGTAGCTTGTTGCATGCCTGTAGCTTGTTGCATGCCTGTAGCTTGCTGCATGCCTGTAGCTTGTTGCATGCCTGTAGCTTGTTGCATGCCTGTAGCTTGTTGCATGCCTGTAGCTTGCTGCATGCCTGTAGCTTGTTGCATGCCTGTAGCTTGTTGCATGCCTGTAGCTTGTTGCATGCCTGTAGCTTGTTGCATGCCTGTAGCTTGTTGAATGCCTGTAGCTTGTTGCATGCCTGTAGCTTGTTGCATGCCTGTAGCTTGTTGCATGCCTGTAGCTTGTTGCATGCCTGTAGCTTGTTGGATGCCTGTAGCTTGTTGCATGCCTGTAGCTTGTTGCATGCCTGTAGCTTGTTGCATGCCTGTAGCTTGCTGCATGCCTGTAGCTTGTTGAATGCCTGTAGCTTGTTGCATGCCTGTAGCTTGTTGCATGCCTGTAGCTTGTTGCATGCCTGTAGCTTGTTGCATGCCTGTAGCTTGTTGCATGCCTGTAGCTTGTTGCATGCCTGTAGCTTGTTGCATGCCTGTAGCTTGTTGCATGCCTGTAGCTTGTTGCATGCCTGTAGCTGCCCTGTACCTTGTTGCATGCCTGTAGCTTGTTGCATGCCTGTAGCTTGTTGCATGCCTGTAGCTTGTTGCATGCCTGTACCTTGTTGCATGCCTGTAGCTTGTTGCATGCCTGTAGCTTGTTGCATGCCTGTAGCTTGTTGCATGCCTGTAGCTTGTTGCATGCCTGTAGCTTGTTGCATGCCTGTAGCTTGTTGCATGCCTGTAGCTTGTTGCATGCCTGTAGCTTGTTGCATGCCTGTAGCTTGTTGCATGCCTGTAGCTTGTTGCATGCCTGTAGCTTGTTGCATGCCTGTACCTTGTTGCATGCCTGTAGCTTGTTGCATGCCTGTAGCTTGTTGCATGCCTGTACCTTGTTGCATGCCTGTACCTTGTTGCATGCCTGTAGCTTGTTGCATGCCTGTAGCTTGTTGCATGCCTGTAGCTTGCTGCATGCCTGTAGCTTGTTGAATGCCTGTAGCTTGTTGCATGCCTGTAGCTTGTTGTATGCCTGTAGCTTGTTGCATGCCTGTAGCTTGTTGCATGCCTGTAGCTTGTTGCATGCCTGTAGCTTGTTGCATGCCTGTAGCTTGTTGCATGCCTGTAGCTTGTTGCATGCCTGTAGCTTGTTGCATGCCTGTAGCTTGTTGCATGCCTGTAGCTTGTTGCATGCCTGTAGCTTGTTGCATGCCTGTACCTTGTTGCATGCCTGTAGCTTGTTGCATGCCTGTAGCTTGTTGCATGCCTGTAGCTTGTTTCATGCCTTGCTGTGTGGAGGGGGCGGTGTGTGCCAAGTGCGGCGTGGTTCTCAGGAGCGCCCACGAGCTGTCGTTGGTGAGTTGTGCGATGATCTGTAACAGGAGGTCCGCGTCTCAAGAGGAAAACACAAGTATACTCTCCATGAAGTCCGAGTCGGAGAGATGTGTGTGCGCGCAAGAAGCTCCGATACCATGTAACGGTTCGAGCGAACCGAAAGGTTTACGTAGGAGGGGTAGCAGGGCGGAAGGGTTAAGAATGCAGACGGTGCGGTGAAGGGGGACACCCAGAGCAGGCGATGCAGACGGTGAGGGAAGGAGCACAAGGAGCAGGCAGCGCACGTGTCATCTCCCGTGTCTCTCCCGTTCCTCTCCCGTGCGTGTCTCTCCCGTTCCTCTCCCGTGCGTGTCTCTCCCGTTCCTCTCCCGTGCGTGTCTCTCCCGTTCCTCTCCCGTGCGTGTCTCTCCCGTTCCTCTCCCGTGCGTGTCTCTCCCGTTCCTCTCCCGTGCGTGTCTCTCCCGTTCCTCTCCCGTGCGTGTCTTTCCCGTTCCTCTCCCGTGCGTGTCTTTCCCGTTCCTCTCCCGTGCGTGTCTTTCCCGTTCCTCTCCCGTGCGTGTCTTTCCCGTTCCTCTCCCGTGCGTGTCTTTCCCGTTCCTCTCCCGTGCGTGTCTCCCGTTCCTCTCCCGTGCGTGTCTTTCCCGTTCCTCTCCCGTGCGTGTCTCCCGTTCCTCTCCCGTGCGTGTCTCTCCCGTTCCTCTCCCGTGTCTCTCTTTCGTTTCTTTCCAAGACTCTCCCGTGCCCTCAATTTCGCCCCCTCGTATCTCCCACCCACAGGCAACGAACCAGCCCTCCCCAAGGGCTGTTTGTGACGAGCAAAAGGCGGCCCCACCTCACCCCAATGCAGCTGCAGGTGCATGCAGCAGGCGGGCAGGCCATGGGATGGAAGCTGCCCCTTGTGCTTCTCGCTGGCCGGCGGGCCATGGGATGGAAGCTGCCCTGGCAGTGTCCTTTGCGAGAAGCGCAAGGGGCAGGCAGCATGCGCGCCCATCTCAACTCCCATGCCCCCCGCTTCTCCCGTTTCTCTTGCTCCCCTCCCTTCCACAGGTCCCGAACCGGCCCTCCCCAGGTTCTGTGGTGACGATCAGGCGGCCCCACCTCACCCCGATGCAGCTGCAGTCACAGCAGGCCATGCGAGCCTTGGAGGCTGCAGAGGCGGAGTGGCGCCGGGAGGAGCAGCGCAGCAGCGCGAGCAGGCAGCATACACGCCCGTCTCAACTCCCATCTCCCCCGTTCCTCCCGTTCCTCCCGTTTCTTGTGTTCCCCTCCCTTCCACAGGTCCCAAACCGGCCCTCCCCAGGGGCAGTGGTGACGATCAGGCGGGCCCACCTCACCCCGATGCAGCTGCAGGCGCAGCAGGCCATGCGAGCCTTGGAGGCAGCAGAGGCAGAGTGGCGCCGGGAGGAGCAGCAGCGCGAGCAGGCAGCGCATTGGGAGAGGGAGAAGCAGCGGAGAGAGAAGGAGCGGGAGAGGGAGCTTGAGCGGCGGCAGCAGCTTCTGGGGGAGATCGGGGTGGAGCACGATTGCTGGCCGTCGGATTTCCTCCGGAAGAGGATGCAGAGCCATCAGATCGCGGCGTTCCGGTTCATCTGGCATCACCTGGTGGCTGGGGGCGGGGGGAGGCCAGGGGAAGGGCGAGGGGGGGCAGGGGGGGGAGGAGAAGGGAAATCAGAGGAGAGGGAAGTAGGGGGGTGCATCTTGGCGCATGCGCCTGGCACGGGCAAGACACTCACCACCATCGCCTTCATCGAGAAGCTTCTCTCGCTGCACCACCACAGCCGCGATCGCCCTTCTTTGCAGCCAGGGCATCTCAGCGGCGGCAGCGCAAGCGGCAATATAAGCAGTGCAATCAACGGTGCAAGCGGCACCCCGCCGCGCATCCTGATAGTGACGGAGCTCTCCATAGTGGACTCGTGGTGGAGCGAGTTCCACAAGTGGATCACCACCCGCTCCCAGCGCGCCGCCATCCCCTCCCTCAAAGTCCTTGAGGGCGGGGCCGCAGGGGTCATTCGAGAAGCAGAGAAGGTGGCCAAGGCGTGGGCTGCTAAGGGAGGCGTGCTGATCGCGACTTATGGGTTCCTGGAGGGGGTGATTGAGAAGCGGGGGGTGGGGGTGAAGGTGGGGGTGAAGGGGGCGGCAGGGGCTGTGTTTTGGGGTTCGCAGGGGCGGGAGGAGGGGGTGTGGGCGAGGGGCGAGGTGCGGCGGGTGGTGGTGGAGGAGACGGATGTGTTGATATGCGACGAGGGCCACCGCATCAAATCGCCTTCCACCATCTCGCACCGGGTACGCGTGCTGTGCTTGTCGGTATAGTGTGTTTCTGTCACATATGCCTTGTCTAGAGCCTCTACTTCACCCACGTTGGGAGGCTTTAGACAAGTCTCAAACGCAACTTGTTTCGTGAATCTTGAAATGCAAACATTGGGAGAGAGGCAGCTTCTACTCTCCGTCATCAATGCGCACACATGGCGCCGCCTCCAGCTCATGGTCACACGGACTTGTGTGTGCTTCATCCGTCAACACCTGTCTCTATCCTGCCCTCCACACCCTTCAATCCGCCGCTCTCAGAAGGCCTTGAACCGCCAGCACACCCTTGTTGTGTGCTGGTTATCTTGATGACACCTGCGTTTGCTTTTGAGTCGACTTTTGAGTCGACTCAAAAGCAGAACCGCCAGCACACCCTTGTGTGCTGGTTATCATGATGACACCTTGCGTTTCCACTCTCTTTCGCCCTTTCCTACAAGTCCTTGGACCACCAGCACAGGCGGCGGCAGGCAGGTGCTGCTGCAGACAGGCACATCACGTATTGTGCCCACTGCCCACCAACCTCCACACCACACCGGACCCTGGACCAGCTACACACGCGGTGGAGGGTGCACCGCTTGTTCTGTGTTGTGTCATCTGCTGCCACGCCCGTCAGTAACTGTTTCTCCCTTCCTCCCCTGCCCACCACCCCTGCCCACCACCCTATCCCACCACCCTGCTCCCTTCCACCCTATCCCACCAGGCCTTGGATCGCCTGCACACGCGAAGGAGGGTGCTGCTGACAGGCACGCCGCTGCAGAACTCGACTCCCGAGCTCTGGGACCTGGCGTGCTTCTTGCACCGCCCCCGCATGCATTCACCAGGCACACCGCTACCTGCGTGCTGTTTCATCTGTTGCCACGCCCTTCAATTGCCGCTTCTTCATTCCTCCCCTTCCCCTTCTTTGGTCTCTTTTTCTCCCAACTCCCCTCCTTACCAGGCCTTGGACCGGCTGCACACTCGGAGGAGGGTGCTGCTGACAGGCACGCCGCTGCAGAACTCCACTCTAGAGCTGTGGGACCTGGCATGCTTCGTGCACCGCCCCCGCATGCACCGCGCTGTGCTGGGGATGGGGGTGGGGGGAGTGGAGGGCGGAGGGAAGGGTAGGAGGAGCGTGCAAAAGAGGGGGAGCGAGGAGGAAAGTGGAGGCGAAGGGGAGGACGCGGTAGGGATGGAGGAGGATGATGATAGCGGTGAGGGGGAGGAGGAGGAGGAAGAGGAAGAGGAGGAGGAGGAGGAGGAGGAGGAGGAGGAGGAGGAGGAGGAGGAGGAGGAGGAGGAGGAGGAGGAGGAGGAGGAAGAGGATGAGATGGAGGAGGGGGGTGCGTATTTGAGCAAGAGGGAGAGGAGGGAGCGGCGGAGAGCGCGGGCCGAGTTTGTTCGAATATTTGACGTTCCGCTGAAGAAGACCGGGAGGAAGGATGGGAGGAGGAGGAAGGAGCGAGGGGGGAAGCGACGGTGGCAAGAGGAGGAGGAGGAGCAGGAGGAGGAAAATGGTGTGGAGAATATGGAAGAGGAGGAAGGGGAGGGCAGGGAGGGGGGTGAGGAGGAAGGAAAGGAGGTAGAGAGGGGGGAGGGGAGGGAGAAGGCAGGAGCGAGGGGGAGGGGTGAGTGTGAGGGGGTGGGAGCGGAGGAGTTCCCGTTGGCAAAGGTGCAGCGGCTGAAGGCACTCATGTTCGACCTCGTGCAGACCGATGGGAACGTGCTGCAGGGCAAGCTGAGAGGTACGGCTGGAGTGGTATGAGGGGCAGCTGAGAGATACGCTGTGAAGGACGCATGGCAGCAGGGGGCTTGCAGGGCTAGCCGAGAGGTATGAGAGATGGGGCGGTTCAGCGAGGAGAGCATGGCAGCAAAGCAAGGACATGCTGATTTGCACATGCTTTGCCATGTTCCTTTTGCATGCCTTTATAGTGTGCCGTGCCGCTGCTAAGTATCGCCCTGTGCGTTACGTTCTACCCCCCTCCCGCCAGACCTGGTGGACGTGACGTTGCTGCTGCACCCCACGCCTCTCCAGCTCGCCATCCTCCGCGCCTTCTATTCCGCCACCGTTGCTCCCCGCCTCGCCCAGCAGCAACTACAGCAGCAGCAGACACTGCTGCGCAACACTAGTGGTAACCGCAACACCACCAGCAGCAGCAGCATCACTGGTGCCAGCAGCAGCAGCAGTGGTGGCACGGAGTGGCAGCTGTCAATGATCGATCTCAAGATCGTGGGCAGTCTCTGCGTGCACCCCTGCGCCTTCGCCTGGAAGCTGAACCGCGGCATCCGAGGCATGCCGCAGGCCATGCTCGCCATGCGCCAATTTCAACCACCGGCACCACCAGCAGCAGCAACAGCAGGAGCATCAGCAGCAGCAGGAGCAGCAGGAGGGGGAGGTGGGAACTCCCCAGGTGGTAAGCCTGGTGCTCCTGCCCGTGGAAACAAATCGGGTGACAAATCGAGTGGCGGGGTTGCGCAGGGCGAGGTGCGGTTTCTGGAGAGCAACAGAGACGCGCTGAGCCCAGCATGGGCGGCCATGGAGGAGCAGCAGGCCGTGCAGCTGTCCCCCAAGCTGGCAGCAGTGGTGGCGATCGTGCGCGCGGCGGTGCGCATGGGCGAGAAGGTGGTGGTGTTTGCTGAGGAGCACGTTCATCTGGACCTCGTGGTGGGGTCTCTGTGCCACGCCATGTGAGTGCTGCTGGGTGGGAGATGGGCAACAGGACATGGGGTATCCCATTCTATGTGTGCACAAGGAAGGTGGTAGTGTTCGCAGAGGAGCACGTGCATCTGGACCTTGTTGTGGGGTCGCTGTGCTACTCCATGTGAGTGCTGGGTGCTGAGTGGGAGATGGATGCAGGGCATGGGGTACCCGATTTTGTGTGTCGGCAGGAAAGGTGGTCGCTGTGCCACGCCAGGAAAGGTGATCGCTGTGCCACGCCATGTGATCTCCTCCTTGCCATGCCATGATAGTTGGACAAGAGACGAGCGGGTCTGAACTCAAGCACCTCTCAACTCAAGCACCTCTCAACTCAAGCACCTCGAATCAAACTTCCCTTTCTCTCACACACTTGGTCGCGTCACAATCCGCGCTGTCTGAATTGACTTGACAGGGACTGGTGGACACGAGACGAGCAGGAGCACGTGGGACTGAGTTGAGGCAGATCCGTTTGGTGTTCGTTTCGTTCACCAATTGAGTTGATGGAAGTAAGGCCTCCTCAGCCCACCTGTCCTCCACCCCCCTTGAAATCTGATATCTCTTATGCATTCTTTTCTTTCAATTTGCTCCATCTGAACCAACAGGGGCTGGGCGAGAGACAACCAGGTCCTGCGGGTGGACGGCAGCATGACTCAGGTGCAGCGCATCGACGCGTTGCCCATATCTCGTGTTGAAATGATCCCCTACCTCTTGTTTGAACGGCAGGGGCTGGGAGAGGGACGAGCAGGTACTGAGGGTGGATGGCAGCATGACTCAATCACAGCGCAGCGACGCATTCGAGCGGTTCCAGAAGGAGAATATGCCGCAAGCAGCGGTGATGGTGGCGGCTGTGAAGGCGTGCGGGCTGGGCATTGACTTCACAGCGGCCTCGCGGGTTGTCATGCTGGACGCGCTTTGGAACCCGGCCTCTGACCAGCAGGTGTGCTTAGGACCAGCAGGTATGGGGGGGTGTGCGTGCAGTGATGGTGGCGGCTGTGAAGGCGTGTGGGCTGGGCATTTACTTCACCGCAGCCTCACGGGTTGTCATGCTGGATGCTCTCTGGAACCCGGCCTCTGACCAGCAGGTGTATAAAGGGGGGGGAGTAGTGTGAAAGGACAGGTGTGGACCAGGGAATGTGTAAGAGGTGAGCAGGTGTGCGGTGAGGTTCCAGAGGGAGAGGGTGCCGCGTGCAGCAGTGATGGTGGCGGCCGTGAAGGCGTGTGGGCTGGGCATTGACTTCACAGCGGCCTCACGCATCGTCATGCTGGATGCTCTCTGGAACCCAGCCTCTGACCAGCAGGTATGGGGTGCGCTTGCGTGAGGTAATGTGGCCGTGCTGGGGGTTGACTCAACTGCTGCCTCAACTGGATGCTCCCTGGAACCTGGCTTCTGACTGGCAGCTATGGCGGGGGCCGTCTGGGGTCGCTAAGACCAGCAGTGGTGGGGGGAGCAGGTTTGGAGTGGCCTTCGACCAGACGGGGTTTCAGGTATGAGGCCAGGTGTTTTCTCAGGTGTGTGCTCCCAGGTATGGGCTCTCAGGTGTGGGCTCAGGTGTGGAATGGCATCTGTCCAGCAGGTGTGACAGTATGACGCAGCATCATATAACATTTTATGCCCACTGCTCCTGGAAACGACAATAGTTCCTAAAGTTCATTAGCTCTTGATACCCTGTTTTTTCAACCACCCTATTCCCAGCTTCTGTTTCATCCCCACCACCACCTTTCTTTCCCCGCCACCATCTGCCTCAGGCGATTTTTGGAGTGTGGAACACAGGGCAGCAGTGGCGGGTGCACGATCACTGGCTGCTGGCTCACACTCCTGAGCACTCTTCCCTTCCCCCCCCACCCCTACTCACGGGACAGCAGGAGAAAATGCATGTTTACCAACCGTTGGCTCAATCCTCCCACCTCTCTGCACCGCCCGAGCACCAAGGGCCATGGGTCAGCGGCGGCGGGTGCATGTGTATCGACTACTGCTGGAGGGCATGGGGGAGATGTACAAGCCGCTGCTGGCTCACCCTACCTCCTCACCCTTTACCCGTCCTCACCCTCCCAAACTGCATTAGGCCATCTCGCGGGTGTGGCGTACGGGGCAGCAGCGGCGCGTGTACGTGTATCGGCTGCTGCTGGAGGGGATGGGGGAGATGTACAAGCTGCGCTGCGCTCAGGCCAAGCAGCGCCTTGCACACGTCATCTTCCACTCCGCCACCGCTGCTGCTGGTGCTGCTGCTGATGTTGGTGATACTTCTAATGCGTCTGCACCTGGTGAGTACTGAGGAACCCCATCACTTCAACTTCTGATGCTGCTGATGCTGATGCTGCTGCTTTTGCTGCTGGTGCTGCTGGTGCTTCTGGTGAGTACTGAGGTATCTCATCACCTCATCACGTCACCTCAAGCCAAACAACGCCACACATGCACACACTCACACAACCACCCATCCAAACCCGACCCCCGCCCCAACACACACACACCCACCCATACACTCACACACACACACACCCACCCACACACCCACCCACCCACAGACACACCCACACACCCATAGACCCACACACCCACTCACCCACCCACCCACTCACCATGAATCATGTGCCTGAAACGTGCAAGTGCTCGTTACCTTCATCCACCTGTAATGAGTCATGTTTTGAGTCGACTCAAAACGTGAAACGTGCAAGTGCTCGTCACCTACATCCACCTGCTTCTTCCGACCGCCCACCTCCCTGCATCTCTTCCTCGCCTTTCCCCCCCCCCCCTCGGTTCCCCCCTCGGTCCCCCCAACCCCACCTGCAGGCGCATCCCCCTCCTCCAGTCCCAGCAATGCCTGCCTCTCCGACCCCATCCTCCGCCGCCTCCTCTCCATGCCATCCTCCTCCATCTCCCCCTCACACCCTTCCACTTCCCCCTCCTCTCCTCCTGGCTCCCATCCTCCTACCGCTCCTCCCTCCGCTGCTCCTGTCCCCTCTCCGAGCACCTGTGCGGGCGGTCACTCTGATTGCGATGGGCGGCGGCTGATATGCCGGGTCGAGGTGCAGAGGAATGGAGTCGCCACCACTGTACATTTGGGTAGCTAAGGTGGCTTTTAATTTGTTCAAGACTGGAAGCTGTGGTGTGGTGAATGCTTAGGGCAGCTGTGAAATACAGCACTTTCCCTAACGCTTGTTCTTTCCAGCCTGACTCATGCCCATTGTGTATTTGGCAACTTGTTTTGGGTTCCATGGGCATGTTACAACTGTACATAGTGGTAATGTCAATCGTCCAGCTTTCATCGCTAACATAGAGACATAAGGGAGCAAAAGCACTAGAAAACTCTACACATTTACTAGGTGGAAGCGCCCATTGATGCGGAGGTACAATCAATGCACCACCGGACTCACCCGATGCACCACTCACCCGATGCATCACTCACCCGATGCACCACTCATAACAAGTTTATGCCACCACTCACCCAATGCACCACTCACCCAATGCACCACTCACCCGATGCACCACTCACCCGATGCACCACTCACCCGATGCACCACTCACCCGATGCAGCACTCACCCGATGCACCACTCACCCGACGCGCACCACTCACCCGATGCACCACTCACCCGATGCACCACTCACCCGATGCACCACTCACCCGATGCACCACTCACCCGATGCACCACTCACCCGATGCACCACTCACCCAATGCACCACTCACCCGATGCACCACTCATAACGAGTTTATGCCACCACTCACCCAATGCACCATGGCATGGAGTAGTGCATGGAGCCGGTGAGTCTGACATCCATGCCGTGCCACATGGGCACACACGCCTTGGCCCTCGCCACCTGCACCATGCCACCACCGTTCCCTGCTCCCTCACTCACATGCTGCTCCACCTTCCCCCTCTCTGCACTCCACAGGCCCCCTTCCCCAGGTCTACTGTCAGTACTCACACACACACCACCCCGGCCATTCTCTCTCCCAACAACAGTCGCACCACCACTTGTATCCACATGCCTGTCGCCCACGTCAACCCCACCAGCTAAGCCTGTGCCACTGCTGACCCCAGCTTGCCCCTCCCTGCCTCGAGTGCTGCTAGCACCAGTTTGCACCACCCTGGCATGAGTGCTGCTGGCATGGCTATGGGACCTTGTGTGCCGGGTGCTGCTCCACCGGCACGCGCACGTGTGGGCGGCAGAGAAGGGGCTGTGCAGGAGCAGGCGGAGGTGCGAGGTGGAGGATGGCCAGTGGTGGGACAGGTGCAGCTGGAAGAGAGGGCAGAGGGAAAGTGGTGGGAGGTAGATGGGAGGAATGGGAGATAGGAAAAAGGAAGGTCCGTAAAAATGGATCGAATGGCAAAACCTTGAAACAACTTCTAGCACGTATCCAACCAGTCGCCTCACCTCACACAAGAACCTTACCCAGCACACCTAATCAGCATCATACACCCATCCACCCATAGCCCTCACTCACCCGAGCATCAGCCAGTCCCAGCAGGCCCACCCGTCCAGATGCCACCTGCACCGTACCCGCCACAGGCATCACCACATGTATAATAGGTAAATATAAGTATGTCTTTCATCACACTACCAAGTACGGTACAAGGATTCAGACTTTCCACTACTCAACTTCATGATGCCTTACATTTTTCTCAGACCAACTCTGTGAAAGGCATGAGCAGGTGGATGAAGGACAAACCTGGCCTCAAAATGGAGAATAAGCAGCAAAGGGGAATCAAATTGTTATGCTGGGGCCAGGTTAAGAACATGTCATCATGGTTGTCTTACCAGGGCGTTTGAACAGCGATGCGATGATGGTGGAAACTTACACCACAGCGCGCCAAATCACACCTTTTCTAGTACCGTGCCTAGGTGAAATGTGACTACAACCATGAAATATATTATTGAAGTCAAAGTGGTTCGGTTAATAGGTAAGGGGCCTGGTGCTAGAACTCTACATACACAGACCCGTCCCACATTGGGTTTTCAAGCGCCCAAGCTCCTACCAGTTGCTCTCCCCCTGTCCAGCAAGTAGGCCAGACATACAAAATCCCCATGTTGTTCAACTGCACATGAACAACATCAGGCATATCCTGAAGCATTGCCACAAACCTCCAGTCCAACGGCATCTCCTCTTCACATCCATAGCCATGCTTAGTCAGAACAGCACCAAGAGGCTGCCCGAGTCTTTGCTCTACTCTTGTCTGAAGCATCTGCAGAGGGATCCAGTCCTTGCCCTTATCTGCCACGAGAGCTGCCAGTTCTTTGTGCACAAGCAGTCGCAATCTTGACTGGATGAGCCCAAGGGTTCTTAGGTTATGTGGAGAAGAAACAAGGCACAACTTTCGATGCTGAGAAAAGTTGTGTCCCTCATTTCGTAGAGTGAGCTTCGACCATGCTGTATTCAGCTGCACCACACCAGGAAGGACATCTCCAAGATCTCTCATGCGTCTCAATCCATACTCCTTCAGCTGAATTGACTTGCCCATAAGAATGGCAAAGGCCTGGTGGAATTTTTCAATGCAGAGAGTACCATAAGCAGCAAGCACAGTCATCACCTGGTACTTCAGGACACTTAAAGTAAAAGCCTTGTCTGAAAATTGCTGCTGAGCGCGCTTTGTGACATCAGTCCACAAAATCTCTGTTATCGGTTGACTCACTGGGGCGCATTCAAGCAACGCATTGGCAGGTAATATTTTTTTCTCCACGTCCGGTTGCTTCTCAACCATGGCTGCCGAGGGGATTGATGTGGACGGGACTGAGGGGTATGCGGACTCATATGGCGTGTTTGGCACAATCCGATCCCAGTCATGAATGTCAGCTCACGAATTTAGCAAAGAAAGTGAAGCCCCTTGCGGCTTTGACGTGCAAGACGATGGTCTTGACAGTCTGGTACTTATGACAGCTTTGACACCCGAGGCAAGGAGACTGGATATTAGAGGAGCGAAGCCAGAGTCACCAGTGATAAGGACCACGCATGAACGAACCAACCTGAGATAAAACGCATTGTCAGTGCACCCCTTTGCAAGAGAGGTCAAGAAAGAACGTACCTGCATCTTGACTGTTTTCTTGTAAAAAGCTCTTGCTCGTTTGCTTGCGACTTGTCATGTCGAATGTCAAAAGCGAAACGCATTATGTCCAGGATTATGGCTTTGTCTGCCATATCCTTTCCTGACGAAACGTTGACAAAATCCACACCGCATGCTGGCAACTCGTACGCACGTGATCCGATAACGTTCTGTTTTCCATAAGCTGTAAAATGAACTATTTTTCCGTACAATTCGCCAAGATATCTTAGTCGACGAGCAGCGAATCCTGTGGTGCATTTGCTTGGAACGCCACAATTCTCAATGTCCCAAAAGACTCCAACGTTAGATTCTGAAATTGGTGATTCCACTTCATGGGAATCACTGGTGATGGAGTCCAGATCGATGATGCAGATACCTTCATCCTGCTCAAGACACGAACTTGTTAATCTGCTTCGTTTTCTAGCAGGAGACATGGACTCAATCACTTTTCCGTCACACTGTGGTCGGCAATAGTAGGAACCTTTTCCTGAAAGCTCCGAGTCTCCGACACTAGCTTATTTTCAGAAACCGCTGGACGAGCGTAGCTGCGTACGAGTCTGATGATGGTGGTGAATCTGGCAGCGTAATCGAGGTGCTGGGGTCGAGGCGAGATGATCCAAGCACCGTACACTCTGCTATGCGTTTCCGCGGTACAAGAGACCCTGACAGTTGATCCGTGGCCATCTAAAAAGCGTAGATTTGTTTTTGACAGCCGAGCAGTGAGCTTAAACTGGAAATTATTGATGTTCCACTATCCATATGACATCACACTGTCTGAAGACAGTCATTGCGATGTCTAGAAAATTACCTTAATCTGGAAATGCGCGCAGAAACGTTGTTCTTAATCTATATTTCAAAACCAATGATTTCAGCACAGAGAAAATGGCTTCAATCTTGTCAACCTCAATGTGGAAGGATCCCAGTGAAGTAGCAAGGGAAGAACTGGCAAACCAATGAGAAAAGGTCCTGGATGGGATGGCAAATGCAAAGTACACGTTAAGAAACCATTCTGTTGGACCTATTCTCCTCTACATCAATAATTCCAATCCAATCATCCAACTCAACCAACACAGATGACATCCACACGTTTCACTTTATAAACATCACCCAATGAACCATGCCACTCACCCAATGGACTATAATGTCAATCACCCAAATCACAACGAGTTTATGCCACTCACTCACCCAATGCACCATGGCATGGAGTAGCGCATGGAGCCTGTGAGTCTGACATCCATGCCATGCCACATGGGCACACACGCCTTGGCCCTCGCCACCTGCACCACACCACCACCACCACCGCTCCCTGCTCCCCCACTCCCCTGCCGCTCCACCTTCCCCCTCTCTGCACTCCACAGGCCACCTTCCCCAGGTCTAGAGTCTGTACTCACACTCACACCACCCCGGCCATTCTCTCTCCCATCAACAGTCGCACCATCACTTGTGTCCACATACCTGCTGCCCACGTCACCCCCACCAACTAAGCCGGTGCCACCGCTGACCCCAGCTTGCCCCTCCCTGCCTCGAGTGCTGCTAGCACCAGTTTGCACCACCCTATCTTGAGTGCTGCTGGCATGGCTATGGGACCTTGTGAGCCGGGTGCTGCTCCACCGGCACGCGCACGTGTGGGCGGCAGAGAAGGGGCTGTGCAGGAGCAGGCGGAGGTGCGAGGTGGAGGATGGCCAGTGGTGGGACAGGTGCAGCTGGGAGAGAGGGCAGGGGGAAGTGCGCGGAAGGTGGACGGGAGGTGGACGGGAGGAATAGGTGAGAGGAGGAAGGAAGGTAGAAAAATTGATGTCTCAAATAGCATCTCAGAGCTGAGATGACATCCAGAATCATCGACCTCGCAGTAACACCAGGCTCAGCGCATGCAGCAAACCCTTTGCGTCCAAACCCGAGCATGCTTCCAATTTATCAGCTCACACGAGCACTTTACCCACAACACCCAATCGACAACAGACAACCATTCATCCATGGCCCTCACCCGAGCGTCAGCCAGTCCCAGCAGGCCCACCCGTCCAGATGCCACCTGCACGGTGCCTGCCACAGGCATCACCTGCACCTTGCCCCCTCCCACCGCTGCCCGGGCGATGCGGGTCACCATGCTCGCTAGCCTGGCAGCAGGGCTGGTTGTGGTGGGTGCCGGGCGCTTTGAGGCAGCTTTGGAGGGAGGGGATGGCTTGATGACCACCTTGATGTCTGCAGGGTAGGCCTGTGTGCCATGAATGGACATCCATGCGAGTGAAAATGAATGCAGATGTAGGAGATGCATGGGCAGCATGAGTGCAAATGGAGAAGGGGTTGGGAGTAATGGTTTGACGATCACCTTGACGTCTAAGAGTAGGTCTGCGTGCGATGGCAGATGAACATCCAGCGAGAGTGAAGGTGCATGTGGATTTCGGGGATGTGCATGTGTCGCATGCACACAAATGATTAATTTATTTAAAACTGTGGTCTCACGTTGGCTCAAAACACTGACACTGAAGAAAGACCACCCCATAAGGGATTTGCCAAGACAGTGAGCAGTTTGACACACAGCGATGTCACTCGGAGACTGCAACAGGCTGAACGCAGCATTCAATGAAACACTGCACACCCCAGCCATACCAGACCAGAACCAAGTCAGTTCCATTGCGCCACACATCATTGCGCCACACATCATTGCGCCACACATCATTGCGCCACACATCATCGCCACCACACAGACCCACCTGATAGGGGCCGACGGATATGAGAGGGCGGCTCTGGCTCAAGCCTCTGGCTGAGTTGAGAGTGCGGATAGGCGATGGCGATGCCAGGGGTGCGATGCCAGAGGGTATGGCTGGAAGGTTGTGGTGGGAATGGCGGAACTGATGGGGGTCAGAGAGATGGGGGAGAAAAAAAGAGGAGCAAGGGCGATAGGGGGAGAGAAAGAGAGGAGCAAGGGAAAGTTTGAGGATAAGAGTTTGGAGTGGAGCGCGGGTGCAGGGAAGAAAGGGAAAAGCGGGAGGGGAGGGGAGAGGGTGCCAAAGGAATGTATGCGACACAGTCTCAAAGCAGGAAATCGTCTCCTTAACAGCTATGTCATAACGTCAAACTGGCAAATGGCTACATGGGAAAAACAGTGCAGTACAGCGAAAGGGCGAGCATGGTTGATAGGCGAAAGGCAACAGGAGCACACAATGAAGGCATCATGCACAACCCAAAATCATGCAGGTGCGCATGCATAGAGGAACTCGTGAGAGGAACTCACCTGGAAGTTGAATCCGAGTCGATACAGCCCCAGGCTCTGCTGGAACTTCACCAGAAGCCTCTCCGGTACCAAATCCAGCGACACACACTCCCTCACCGCCCCCACCGCTCCCGCCACGCCTCTCCCTCCTCCCCTCCTCCCATCCCACCTCCAGCATCCCCCACACCTCCACTCCCTCCAGTCACTGCGCTTTCTCCTTCCCCTTCCCCTCCCATCCTCTCAATCCCACCTACACCCCCGCCCGTATCCATGACAGTTCTCCCCCACCCCTCTGCACCGCCTTCAACATCCACCCCTGCCCGTGCTTCCTGGTAGCCACTGCCTGAACTGCGAGACTCAGGCTGAGCCACAGCACCCGCCACAGCACCAGTCATCTCCCACACGGGTGGAGCAGAGGGGCGATGAAGCCACTCCCACCCGCCCTCACACACAACCACCCCATGCCCCTCCCTCTGCCCCGGCCCCTGCCCCGGCCCTTGCCCCTGCCCCTGCCCCTGCCCCTGCCCCTGCATCTGCATACCACCCACACCTCGCCCTTTCCCTGCCACCTGCACAACAGCTCCCCTCTCTGCCTGCCCCTCCCCTCCCCCACCCTCCCCATGCTGTGCTGCTATGCCCCGCACCCACCCCCACCCCTCCCTGCCCAGTGCCCTGCCCATGCTCCTCCTGCCTTCTGCCCTCCACGCCTTTCACATGTTTGTGCTCGTACGCGCGCTGCCAGGCCCCCCCTCGCCCACTGCCTGCATCCCTGCCTTTTCCCTGCTCGCCTCTGCTGCTTCCAACCCCCACGCCTTTCGCAAACGCCTCCAGCGGCTGTCTGCCTGGAATGCCTTCCGCATGCTCCTCCCCTTTCCTGCCCTCCGCGCGCCCCTCCTGCTGCTGCTGTCTGCCTTCCGCCCCTCGTGCTTGTTCGTACGCGCGCTGCCAGTCCTCCCACGACACGGACACGGCGGGCGAGCCGTCCCCGTTATAAACTGAGTTGCGGTGATTAGAACGGCTTGCATGGCCGTCCGGCGGTACTGTGCTGCTCGTCAGCCACGCGGAGAGAGCAGTCCTGTGGGGTATCGGGTGGTGGGGGAGTGGGGCATGCGCGGGGAAAGAGCAACCCTAAGGAGGATCAGATGGTGCGGGTGAAAGGCCACGTGTTTGGCACAGGAACAGATGCGCGAAAGGATCAGGAAATAACATATACTGACGTGTCAGGCACGAATTGGAAGACTCATCCCTATCTGCGTACTAACGGTAAACACCGACACCGAGGTCTCATCCCTACCTCATGCGGTCTCTCCGTGTGCGCCGCTCTGAAACCTTCGCCGCGCGAGAGCAGCGGCCCGCAAAGAGCGCCAAGCGACCCGTTCGCCTTCAGCAAAAGGGTCCGTTAGCTTCACACGCACGGATGGCACTTCTGGCGTGAATCATCGACCGGCTAAGCAAGCCGTACGTGTGCCAAAGATCTGAACGGGAAGTAACCGATGTTACGAAAGAGATTCGCTCCGAATAACTCTCTAAAGTCGAATTAGAGACGATGAGATTCGCGTCCGAGCGAAAGAGGGCTTTTCAGATGAGACGACGGTAGAAGGCCGTGCATGATCGCATCGGGGTAACCACTCGCGTTTGTTGAGCTGGCACTGAACCTGCAGAAGTTGGTCGTCGAAGTCTGCAGAGGAGGAGAAATTCCGCCGAAGGGAATTCTGCAGAGGATTACGCGGAGTTCTGCAGAGGGAGTTCGGAGAAGCAGAAAGCGGATTCTGCTGCAGAAGAATGCGCATCTGCAGAAGAATGCGCATCTGCAGAAGAGTGCGCATCTGCAGAAGAGTGCGCATCTGCAGAAATCGTTCTGCAGAGGGCGCGTCTGCAGAAACGGATTTCTGCAGAGAAGCACGTTCTCGACCGACGAACCTCTCCGACGCGAAAACGCGATCGTTTCGGAACATTGCGGACATTGAGAAATTGACCCCCGGAAACAGTGCGTGAACTTGGGGTGTTCAATCTGGGGCGAAACTGAACCACCTGCACAGAATGAACCTGGCGCACGTTTTCGTAACTACGAAAACGTGCGTTACAGAAGTTGTTTAAAACAACCTGAACAGCTAAAACAACTACTTTTAGGTAGGTAAAAATTACCTACTAAGCACACGTTGTAATTTTCACCTGCCGACGCTGAGTTGGCAAAGCGCAGCTAAAAGTAGTTATCTAAACGTTCTAGGTGAGAACGTTCTCTCGGTAGGTTCAGTGGTTGGGTAGTTCTTTACCCCTTGTATTCTATCATTCATTCAATTCTAGTGAATTTTCTGTGTGTGCCAAACCTATGCCTTCAAGGACTTGGACAAATTTCTGTCTCCTTAGTGAACCACCAATATCGTGTCTACGCAGAAAGCATTCCGTAGAGCTCGTTCATCCGAGTAGAAATCTCTGCAGCGTTTAGGCGGTCCTTCTCGAACGAAAGCGCTTGCGCCGGAGATCCGGAGGCCGTCCCTGCGCCCTGCCTGACGGCGCTGCCGTGCCGCGCACTCCGCACACACGGTCCTGCATGCTGTTCTGACCCATGGCACGTCCCTGCGCGGATCGCATCCCGCCTTTCAGCGAGCGCCTTGCACCTCGACGCGACACGTCGCGATTGGGGGAAGGGTGCACATAGCTGCGAGGAGAAATCGAAACGTCATGCATGTCTTAGTGACATCAAATGGCAGGGACATGTGGAGAGAGCGTCCCCTCCCTAGATCGAACCTGCGCAGGTTCGTTGTTTGGCGCATTCCTGAGTCTGGACACCATCCGAATTTTCCCACGCGGTTCGCAAATGTTGACGTGGCATTATTTGACATTTCAATGTCTCCCCACGCGGTTCGAAGTCTGGACACGTTGCGTTCACCCGATGACGGTTTTTACGACAGCTTTGCCCGTCAGTGTGCGACCTCAGCGACCCTTCCATTAGCGTTTGGTTTCTACCACTGCCGTCAAACGTTTTGTTAACGACTGCCCACAAACTAGATGTTGAGTACCTGTCCAATAAAAAAAAAAACAAATTGCGATGACAGAAACGAGGTGTAGCCAGATTGTAGGCTATAAATACACCATTTACGTTTCCTCGTCTGTTTACAATGCCCGGATGTCAGGCTGCTCTGTTTCAATATTGGCGCGGAAGCTTGGTCAAAGCGAGTCTTGACGTTTTGACGAGAGAACCAGATTGGTCGCGAAATTACTTCTGTTGGACACCTGTCAGGCGATGCTGGCGACCACTGTCGCCTGCCTAAGTTAGGTTCGGTATCCAATGTGGGACAATTCCCCGCCAGGACACCATCCGGACCGTAAAATCGGTCTGGTGGGGCAACTTTGATGGTGGGCAAACCTAGGACTGCGATCTTAGAAAAGTTCAACAAGTTGTAAATGCAAAACGCGGGATTCTAACGCGGTGTAAGATCAGTTTTCCTCGATTTTGCACCAACGATCGAGGGAGGGGACGCGGTGTCAAACCACAAAACATTTGTGAATCGGGTGGAAGGCTTTTGGTTCGTTCTCGCTGGTACTAAAGCGTTTCGATGCGGTTTATACAGATACTGCAAGGAGGGCTTGAATTGCATCCACAACCACTACTTGCCCAACTTTCGACTAAGGAGGGCGACTGTCGACTCTGCGCCGTATTCCACCGCAATGCATCTTATCATTCTGAAAAAGATGAATCTGAGCGTCACTCAGCCATGGCTGAAATGTGGCCAGCAAATCTGCAATTCTAAGGGCGCGTGTGTTCTTGCCGAACCTGACTGAAAGTTCGAACTTTTATAACGGTTAGTCACGGTAGAATACAATTAGAAACGTTTTGCGACGGTGCAAAACGGTTTGAGTTCGAACTTTGTCCCGCTTTTCTCAGCACGAGCAGGATGCTGAGTGCACTCTCCAACCAGCGGCGGCACTGAACTGAATCGGCTCCCTGAGCACACATCATTGGGAGAAAAAAAGTTTTAGGTCGCAATTTGACACCATGCTAGCGCAAACGAGAAGCATGAGATGAGTGTCAAACCAGCACTCATGCAGCAATCAGGTGGTCATACCTCAACGCTAGCATATTGTGTCCCAATCATAAGCAACATCAGCTATTTCCATTGTGGCTGAGCGCAATGCCGGTCCACCATAGTAACTCTGAGGTCGCCTTGCAATTGCAACCACTTGCACATCCTGGCGCTGAAGGTCCCTGATGAGCGGGCAAAATCCGGCATCGCCGGAAATGAGCACCACCGTTGCCCTGGTGAAATCATTTGGTTGAAGCAACAATCGACATGGTTTGGCAATGTTAGGTCTAGGACCAAAATATCCGTGTGTGGGCATCAAAACAAAAGAAAAAAACGATTGGGATGGCAGCAAGTTACTAACTTAGTAAGCTCAATACGTACCCCTGGTGTCCCCAGTCTCCCATGTTGTTGTAAGAAGCAAAGCGCGCAGCATCGTTGCGGATCTCATTGTCTGCCACGTTCTTTCCTGCCAAAACCTTTTTCACACTAACGCCACATCTTAGCAGATCGTTCTCACGCGAGGCCATTTGCGCAGCCTTCCCATAGGCAGTAAACACGAGAATAGACCCAAAACTTGAACCAACACGACGGAGAGCAGCAACGACCCTCGCCGTATCGACGCCACTATAAATTTGACAGTTTTCGTAGTCCCAGTATATAGCAACAGAAGGCGGTCGAATGGGCGGTTCCTCGTGTGCAGTGGATGAGGGTGCATAGCTGCTACGTTGGAACGTCGATGGTTCTTCATTCTGACGAACGAAGATCTTGAGAAAAATCAGGAGCCCCACCACAAACATAATGAGTTCGAACATGGTTTCCGGCTTGGCAATCGTTTTCTTTTTAAATAGAGGCTTCAAAGTCAACAGCGGTGTGACCTTGAAAGGGAGAATAATTGGTTCGGACCAGGCTATGCAGTGTGCGATGTTTGCGACCGCGGCCGCACTACGATGGTTAGCAGGCCTAACGACGTCGTTAGGGAACAGCAGCAACTCCAAGCAAGATGATCATCGTCGGAGCATTGTGATACGACTGAGAAGTCCAGGAAAATCCGCTTGTGACATTCCAGACAGAGTTCCGTGGTACCACAAGCCATCGTTTGCATTCGTTCGTGGTGCGCTGTATCCCATAGCCCATGAAACGTGGAAAACCCTAGCAAGCCGATCTGAACCAGGCCCCACGAGAAGCATCTTGCTGATTTTGGCAATCCGCAGGTGGCAAGCTAAGGTTGTCAACGATGTCTGCTGGATGGCTCATGCGATGCAGGATGACGGCATTACGGCGACTGTGTGTTGGGCGAGGATGGAGCTGGCAGACGGAAATGTGACTTGAAGAACTACGCAGGAGAATTTGCTGTGAAAGGAATGACGCAGGGATGGGGTGGGATTGCCTTGTTGAATTCTACTGTAACTCGATAGAAGTACTGTGCGCGGTTCCGAAAGAAGAACCACACATATACTAGGTAAACGTAAACAAGATATTGTGATGTTCCACACTGTATGGCGAAAGAAGCTGTGCAAAATTGTATTATGTGTGAGGATGAAGCTTACTAGCATCAACAAATTTAGCATTTTCGATCACCGTATATTCCTTCAGACATTATGTCCCATAACTAGAAGCAAAGTGATTCCAATCAGGCCCCTAGATTCGTTTTGAGGTAGTCTGACGCCTCAGAGTACACCCCTCTTCCTAGTCTGGCTGTCAGAGTTACCTAATTTTTTTAGTCTGAAAAATCAGACAAGCACAACTTTTTCTGTCTGAACTGTCAGAGTTACTTCAAAATTTAAGATGTTCATGCAGTTTCATAACAGCATAGTTATAACAGCATTGAAGCTGATTACAGCCTACCAACGCATCAGGCAACGTGCTCGTGCATCGCACTGCTCATGTCGGCGGCGTTCTCGTGTTTTTGTCACGTGCAGCGCATGATTGTTTCTGCTGATATCATTTCGTTTTGTCGTTTGTGTGATTGCCATTCTGTACCCATTCAATTTTGGATTTCTGTTTCCAGCGATGCGATCGTTCACCCGATCCGTATCAGGTGGGCCAAGTGCCACGCAGCTGAGTGTCAGAATATTATGCTCTAGCCTGTAGTGGGGTGCTCTATAGCGAGTACAACCCTTCTAGGGTTTGCTATTTGTATCCTCATTCTTGCTAGTGCAACCCTCCTCTCTTCTTCTTCTTCTTTTTAAACTTTCACATGCTATCAGAGCAGGTCGATCCCCTTGGATCGATCCTGTGGGTGGGCTCACCACCTCGTTGCTTCCGCTGCAACTT